CGCTGGTGCCCTATCTCCTCTCCCCAAATCTCCTCACATCCACGCCAAATGTAAAGGGGTTTCATGGGGATTGCTTTGGAGATCGATTCGCAAGGTAAACTCTTTTGAAAACCGTAATTTCCCCATTATTTGCCCATGTATATATATTGAGTAGTTTTGTTGAAACCCTGGATTGAGAATTTTGGCTCAGGATGCATGCATTGTGAATTAGGGAATGCGGGTCGGGATGTAATATGGTAGTTCCATCTTAATGTTTGTAGGGATGATTCAAGGTGATTTTACATTAATTTTTTTTCCGTATTTTGGCATGGGTGGGAAATGGATAGGGTTAGAACTATGAAATTTATTTTTTAGACATTTTGCAGTAGTTTAAATGTGTGAAGTTGAACTACCATGTTTATTCATGTGTAGTTTATATATATTTTGAAACATAAGAACATTGCGAGGTGTGGTTAGGGTTAGGGTTAGGCTCAGTTGAAAGTAAATTCCGCCTTTAAATTCTAGAAATCTCATAGGCATTATGTACGAAATATTGTGTAATAATGTCCATTTATATGGTCCCTCCAAACCAGGGGTCCCTTCGTATGTCTCCAAAGAGCAGTGGTTCTGTATGACGATCTTCCTCCGTGCATGCTGCTAGTTCCTAATTCCGCTCAACAACGCTGCCGCACGCTAATCGGTCTCATCTGCTTATCCGGTTATCGATCCCTCTGTCTATGTCTAGAGTTCAAGCGCAGGGCCATGACTAGCTCCATGAAAGAAGGCTGCTTGGTGCAAATGCTCGCATGATAGAATCCTCTAGCTCCAGCGGAGAGTGCAACCAAGCACTCGCACATTCCAGAGGCCTCCTAAACCCGACATGGCTGGCGAGAGAGAGCTAGTTAGCTAGCAATGTGTACGTTGTTGCAGGGTTTGCACTTGGCTGATGTGTTCAATGCTACCATTATGTTGGTCTAGAACATTTTGCTAGATAGGTATGGATGGAGAACTTATATTACAAGGAATTGAATCGTGACACGACGAAGTTTATAAATTGAATGGAGTGAGGAGCGGTTCTAGTAGCAATATGGGTGAATTAAACTATGCACATGCCTGTCTGATCTTCTAGCATCCTTCTGGTGCTTTGTTATAAATATTTAATTGTTACGAACACAACGGTGTAATCGGATCGTAGATCGAATAAGTAATTTAAGAGAAAATTGTATTTGAAGTATAGATGGATAGTGTCTATCATAGATAGAGTGGTAGCTGGTTAGACAAATCAGCTACCACTAGCTGTGTAGTCACGTCTGAAATTAAAGTATCATTGAAGAGAAAATGTTCAATATTTTCAGCTTCATTACATCTGTCTTCCCGGATCCTGTAATGCTTCCGGTACTAATGCTCCAATGCTTCGTTATCTGCGTCAACACATCAGGGTGACCTCCATGATGGCGGCAGCATATCCTTGAGATCCGAGAACAGGATGATCATCCTGAGGGTGACGTCGGCCTGCAGGTGGCCGTCCGTTTTCTAGCCTGTCAAAGCGCCTCATCACCGGTGAGTATTTTTAGAATGCAAACACTGAAAAAACTTCTCAAAAGGCAAAGACGACCTACATATCCTTGTTCAGTTCGGTGACTTGGAGTACCAGAAAGTTTTCCATGGAGAAGGGGACGCCCTCCAAGTCATCAGATGCAAAATGAAGCACTAGTTTCAAATCATGAAATAGATACATTTTTATGAGAGCGTGAGACTGCGCCACCGCGGTCTCCATCTCGAGTGCAGATTGCAACCAAACGTGCATGTATTCCAGAGGCCTCCCGATCTCAAAATGGCCGGAGCAAGCGAGCGAGCTAGCCATGCATCTTTTGATGTGCATTGCGTTTGGCTGGAACAAGCGAGCTAGCAATTTAGCTAAAAAGTTTATCTCCGCACATGGTCTGGTGATATGCTGCCATTGTGCTATATGAAAGTCTGAAGAAGCCATGAATTCCTGGTGCTGGACTTGGGCTATCAATGATGATGGAGAAAAAAATGATCATGGCCAAGCAAACTAATGGCACAGCGCCATATTTCACTTGTGATTGATTTTTGGGCTCCTTTCATTGTTTTTTTTTCTAGTAAGTATAAGTAAATCTATGTAATTGATTCTAACCGCAGGTTACATAGGACTTATACTTAGTTAGAGACCAATTCCCCTCAATTATGGTGCACCAAAGCAAAATTAGATTATACTTCCTCCGGTTTCATTTTAATTGACGTTTTGGATAATGATACGGTCTACAAAATACATCTTTGACCTTATTTTTCTGTTATAATATATATAATAAATAAATGCATGTTTACTTTTATTATAGTACTTTAAAAGACAAATCTATATGTTCTAGTTCCTTTAAACTAAATATTTTTAAAGTTATTGATAGTCTAAGTTATAAAAGTTTGACCTCAACCTTATCCAAAACGTCAATTAATATGGAACCGGAGGGAGTACACTATTTTTTCTCTAGATTTACGATTTTTACATGTTTATCTTTTTTTTGTTATTTCATTTTAAACATGGTATACCTATTAGTTGAAAATTGTGCAAGATTTGAAACTACAAATCTGTCGAAAGATAATAGTTAGTCTAATTAAGGAAACTTTCTTTTACTGCGTTGTTAAGACCACTCGCTTTAAGCTATTTGTTAACCTTTTTAGAAAAAAAATAATCAATTTATCCTTAAAGTCCAGTAGATAATCGGTCAACTAGATAATTGGCTGCAATAATCTGTTGAATAATCTAAATCAAACAGGCCGGTCAATTAGAGAAGATACCAATGCGCGGTTCTAGCAATTTAGCTAAAAGTTAATTTAGCAATTTAGCACATCGTCCGCTGGGATGCTGCCATCCCGCTTTGTTCCCTACACTACTTAAGTCTGAAGCCTGAAGAAACCATGAATTACTGGTGCTTTAATTATATTTAGTAGCCATCTAATGCACAGTGGTTTGTCCCGTTAGAATACGGATAGGAACAAAATAATATATTTATATTATTAATTACATGAATTAACATTGGAAGAATTTTTTTTAATGTTTACTGTATATGAGTATATATGAACAACAATAGCCAGTTGGCAACTAATTAAGCTAACAGAAATACTTACACAGTGATCATCCTCGTTAGAGAGAAATCCCCCAGAAGGGCAAAACGAGGTAACAAATAAATTAAGCCAAAATTACTTTCACACAGTTGATCATCATCATTACAGAGAAGACGGATTCCCCAGAAAGACAAAAAGAAGAAAAAAAAATCAAAAGATACATAGCCCCATAATTTGACTCTAGTCTAACATCATTTGAGCTAATTTCGGAGAATGCTTCATTATCTGGTTCACGGCCAGTAACTCGTTCTTGACGGCCTCCTTGGCGTCGAGGTCGTAGAACAGAACGATCATGCCGAGAGCGCCGTCGGGGTGGCCGTCGTCGAGGTCTACTTCTACCGGCCGCAGCTCCGGCGAGCGGAAGGTGAAAACCTTCATCAGCTTGTCCTTGCCGACGGCGACGTCGCGCACCTCTCTGTTGTTCGCCCTGAATCGGCCAAACTCCCCGGCGGCGCCGAAGAGACGGTAGCACATGGCGTAGTCGGAGTAGCCGCACGTGAGGCCGTACCGCCGCCCCTCGGCGTCGAACACCGGCACCTCCATCCCGTGCGGCCCGTCGCCGCCGTCGCCGATCACGCGGTCGAGCTCGCCGTCGGTGAAGGCCTCCGTGATGTGCCGTGCGGCGATGGAGCCCCTGGCGAGGCCCAGGCGGCCAAGCAGGAGGCTGGTCTGCTGGCCCCTGGGGGCCTGCCCGAAGTAGACGCACGTCGGCGTCGACGAGCCGAGCTCCGCGAGACGCGACTGCAGCACGGCGTCGCCGTCCTCGAGCACGACGGAGTTGCGGTAGTTCGCCGGCGGGCAGCTTCCGCTGGCCGACCGCAGCATGTCCCTCAGGGCGCCCGGGTTGCCGCTGATCACCTGTAGTGCGAAATTGGCTTGACCCATGGTCGTTGAAGCGACGATCGACGACGACTTTGTCTTGAACTTGCGGGGACGACGTACGGCGTTGTTGTTGGTGTGGCTGCTTAAGAGGACTGGTTCTGGGTGGTCGTAGGGAGTCACAGTGGCTGTCTATTTATCGAGGGACGGGTTGGAGTCCGATACGTACAGAGGCCAGACGATCGGCAAATCTCTCCGAGTCCGAATCCGTGCGTGCGTCGCGCGCACTATGCAAGTGTGTAGTCAGGGCAGACGAAATCGGAATCGGACTTGGTTTTGCGTCACGATGAAGCCCCCGTGGCCGACGCCGCCAACGCCATTCCCGCTGCCGCCGTCCGCAGCTTTTCGCCTCCGCCACACGACGCCGCGTTACCTCCCTAGCCACGCGTCGGTCGCCGCCGCCCTTCGAACCGCCATCGCCGGCCAATCCGGCGACGCCTCTTCGCATCCCTATCCGACGCCACGATGTTCCGTCGTCGACTTGCTTCCCTCCACCGCCTCCGTTGCCCATAAAAGCCGGCGAGGCAACCATTCTGTCCCCCATCAAATCTCAAACTCCTCCTCTCTGTCTCCCCAAATCCTCTCACTGCAGCCGGCCGTCGCCCTCACCCCGGAGAGCCATCCACCGCCAGCCGCCATTCCATTTCCGGCGCCGCCCTTGCCACCACCGCTGGGAGCGCCAGGTCGCCGAAGCAACGGATCCGGTTATGCCAGGCCGCCTCTTTATTTTATTTATTTCAAATTCAAGCTTCAGGAGCCCATATATCTCAAACCGTAGATTCAATTCAAATGAAACCTGGACCTTGATTTGTATTAATTCAAACCCTTTACTTTGATACCAAATTTTCTATTTTTAAAATTTTTGTTTGAATTCCTTTATTTATCTAAATACATTCTAAATTTAAAATCATTTCATTACCCTTTTAGATTTATTTTTTTCAATTTAAATTATCCATATCATCCTCTACCCTTATACAGCCTCCATACCAGTGTTTGAAATTTCGGTTCGAAATTTCTGAAATTTCGGTTTTGCCCACTGGGGTTCGGTAAAAGTACATGCCGGACAAAAATTTCGGACAAAATTTTTTTAAAAAAAATTAGCAAAAACGCCCGCACTCCTCCCCCAACCCTAACCCTAACCCATTTTTCCCCACCGCGCCGCCAAGAGGCGATTTTTTCGTCCTTCGGCGCCAAATCCCCCTGCGCCGCTACCTCCAGTTCACGACGGCGCTCATCCAGCAGGCTGCTCCGGTGGCTCCGGCGTCTTTCCTGGCTGAAAGCCTACGACGCCGCTCGTCCTGCAGCCGGTGGCGATGGCTCCGGCGCCCCTCTGCGACGCCGCTCATCCTGCAGGCGGCCGCGGCTCCGGCGCCCCTCCTGGTTGCGAGCGGCTGCGATCCTGCGCCCTGCGACGCCCCTCCTGCCCCGAGCCCCCGACGCCCCTCCAGTCCTCGCTGTGCCTCCCCTCTTCGATCCGGCAACTTGGCATCTCGGCGACAGGGTTTTCGACGGCATCACGGCGAGAAGGCACTGAAGCAGCGGTATGTATGTACATTGGATTTGCTCGCCTCCATCCCTTAGTCTCACTGATTCGTTGTCTCATTTTTCCACTTCGCCTCTCTTGGATTTGACATTATGCCCTTGTCCTGTTCTTGCAGCGGTGTACACACTGAGCTATGTGATGAACTTGTAATGGATTTATTGGTGTATGCAACTATAATAGACTAATTGCTTCCAAGATGACTTATTTCTTTTGAAATCATGAATTATATGACTGCAAAATTGTTCTCAGAGCGTCCCAGATTTTTTTTCCCATAAATTTCGGAATTTTCGGAATTTTCGGGTGAAATTTTCAAATTTGAATTCAAAAAATTTCATACGAAATAATTCCGAAATTTCTGAAATTTCGGAAATTTCGGTTCTATCGCCCCCCTCGGCAGAAAACGTGATTTCGAAATTTCAAACCCTGCTCTATACAGTTGCAGTGGGAACTCTAAGTCCATGGGGACGTTTGTGGTTAACATCGAACCGAGGGCGGTAGAGCCCAGCATAACCCTCCTAACCGTCAAACCGCTGGAGTTGCGCCCCCTCCTCTCCCTCTCCCCTCTGTCTGTTGTCACAAGGAGGAAGAAGAGAAAAAGACATATAGGAGAGACACCTGACAACCGGGCCCTACTGTCACGCCTCGAAGTTTCCCTCTTTTTTCCTTGCTTTAAAAATGGGTTAAATAAATTGCCCGAAGAAATTGTTTAATTAACCTAGAGCTAAACCCCTAATTAATAAATGCATTTAATAATCGAATTCGGCGTGGTGGAATTTTTCTTGAGTTCCCCATGCTCCAATACATTAACATGATTTTTAGTGGAATTTTCAGAGCCTTGGAAATAATTTTAACCAATTAAAATTGAGCAAGTGCAATATTTTTAATCCCAAGAAAATCCTTTTTCTCTTTTTCTTTTCTTTTCCCTCCTTTTTCTTTGTTGGGCCGTCGGCCCATCCCTCTCCCGCAGCCCCTCCTCCTTGTGGGCCAGCCCAAGCCACCCCTCCTTCCTCTCTCGGGACACCGACAGGTGGGCCCCACCTGTCGGTCGTCTCCTACCTCCGGGAACCGCCGCTGCCGTCGAAACCGCCCACGCCGCCGCCGCCGTTTCCCGCCGTTCTCCGCGCCCCACTCCGCCCGTGCCGCGCGCCCACGTCGCCGCCCCACTCCTCCGCCCTTCCTACCCGCGCGCACGCACGAAGTGGGCGGGATTCATTTTGAATCCCATCTCACTCTCCCTCTCTCTCCTCCCCATGTCGCCGGCGGTTTCGGCCATCTCCTCGGCCACGTCCGCCCTTCTCTCCCATAAAAACCCTCCCCCGAGTCCCCTCCCTAGTTTCCCCCATTTGCCATCCTCTCCCACGGCCCCTACCGCGCCCGCGCCGTCACACCCGAGCTCCGCCGGTTGTCGCCGCCTTCGGCCGCGTGCCGCCGCCGCTAGAGTCGCCGCCGCGCCAAACCGCCGCCGCCGTTAGCTTCGCCGCCGCAAGAGCTTTCCTGGCCGCCGCCTTGCGTCGCCGGAATCCCACCGGAGCGCCTCTCCCCTCGCGAGCCGGCGAGTTTTTCCCTCCCCTCCATCTCCGGCCGGCAATTCAAGCCGCCGTGGTCGTCGTCTCCTCTCCTAACGCCTCTCCATCTTCTCCTAGGGTGTCGCCGCCGCCCGTCCGTGCCTCCGCATCGCCGGTCATCGCCGCCGTCTTCATCCTTCGCACCGGCTGCCGTGCTCATGGTGAGGAGCTCCTCTCCTCCCTCCTTCCCTCTGTCCCGCACGCGCTGCCGCTCCCTGCGCTCGCCATCGCTTTCGTCTGCCGCCGCCGGCCTGTGCGCCGTCCGCCGCCGCCTCCCGCGCCGTCGCTTGCTGTTGCCGGCGCTCGCGCGCCGCCGCCGGTCACCGCCGGTGACCGCACGTGTCGCCACCGGCCGCCATGGCTGCCGGTCGGCTTTGAAGCCTAGCCGAGCCGTGCCTAGCCGCCTCCCCCGCGCCGTCCGATCGCCTGTGAGGCTGATCCGGACCGTCGGTCCCGTGGACCGGCGGTGGACCACCCGTGTGGTCCCAGTCCACGGTAGACCGGCCACCTTGTGCCGCTGCCAGTGGGGCCCACTTGCCCGAGCCCCCTCTCCCTCCCCTTGTGCGCTGACAAGCGGGGCCCACCTGTCGGCGCAGCTGGCCTCCCCCCCTTGGATGACGTCAGCCCTGGGTATTATTGCGCAATAAATTGATTAAGGACTTTTCTTTATTAGTAAAAACACAGTTTATCTTCTAAAATTCATAAGTAATTCATCCGAGCTCCGTTTAAGTCCATTCAAGTCTCAGTAAATTCATAAAAATGCAAAGAATCCATTAAAAATGGTTTTGTTTCTTGTTTCAGTAGTCTTATAGCATGTTTTACTTGTGTGCTTTGTTTGTCGCGTAGATTTCGGCCGTTTCGTCGATCCGCGTTTTCTCGAAGACGTTGCTGTGGTCTCATCAGTGCGAGAGCAAGGCAAGTCATGTATTACAATTGATCATATTGTACCCAATTTACAAATATCCCGCATTTCTATTAAATGTTGCATTCTTTTACAATGTAATGTGGGATGGGTCCTATTCCTCAGCCACATATTGGTTACCTTATGCCATTGATAACTTGGGTATCAAAATGACTAGATGTTGGCTTAGGAAATGCTTAGCCATGCTTAGTTCAACTAGTACACAAATGGGGACCACATTATTACATAGACTCTGATTATTAGCATAGCTTTGGACTGGTGCCACCGCAAGGGTGTCAGTTAATTAAAATATTCTGAATACCGGGCTGTGGGTGCATGGTTTTGCTGGTCGCACCCATGGCAGTTAAGGACCGGTTTCGGGAAACCCTGGGAGACTTACCGTACTTACCACAAGCGGGAGTGGGTAACTGCTTGATCTGAAGTATAGCTCGACCCTTTCCTAGGCACAGGTGGCGAGGGTGGGCGTGATGGAGTTGGGTCGGCCGGGGTGTCCGATTGTCCAGCTGCCGGATTCACCGCGGCGCAAGAGAGGAATGCCCACTGCCTTTTGAGGGGTGGGGGGTGAAACTTTAGCGTGGTGTGGATGGTTAGGGGAGGGTTATGTGGAGCGTCTTGTCACGATTTCCCCCTTTGCAGTATCATGGTGATACTTCGGGGCATGGCGACATGTGTGGAATCGTGTCTTGTGGGTACAGTTGTACACCTCTGACCAGAGTAAAACTATTCGAATAGCCGTGCCCGTGGTTATGGGTGATCAACCAAATTCACCGTGATTAGTCTCACCCCTAGTTTAGCTTAATGAACTGGTGTAGTTCAGGTGGTTGGTTGGGCCTGTTGCAACGTGGTGTAGCGTTGAACAGTGATTGGTTAATATTGCTTAATTACTACAACTGTTTTTACTGTTTTCAACTACTGGTTTTAAATGCCTGCTTTATGCAAATGAACCCCGTAGCCTCCTTTGGTTATATCCTGCATCATACCTCCTCTTCCGGTATGACTTGCTGAGTACAGTGGGTAGTACTCAGTTTTGCTCTCTTTTCGCCCACACCAGAGCTGAAGATCTTTCTAGTTGGAGCTGTCTTGTTGAAGTTGGTTTTGTCGCTGCCGTCAAGGATTGCCTGTGGAATGGAGTCGCCCCGCTGCTGAAGTCAAGCTTCCGACTTTAGTTCGTTTTATCTTTTCCGCTGCATTTGTAATCTTTTATATTTTTGTAAGACGTGGATCTGTCTGTCAACAATTATCGTTTGTGTACCCTGGCTGGTCCTGGACAGGGATTTAAAGCACATTCAGCTTAGAAATTCTGGTTCGTGAATTTCTGGGCGTGACACCTACTTCCACATTAAAATCTCTCTTATTTTATTTATTTCAAATTCAAACTTCAAGAACCCATATATCTCAAACCGTAGATCCAATATCAATGAATGTTGGACCTAAATTTGCCTAAATTCAAACTCTTTACTTTGTTACCAAATTTTCTATTTTAAAAAAATTATTTGAATTCCTTTATTTACTTAAATACATTCTAATTTTAAAATTATTTCAATACCTTTTAAATTTAATTTTCAATTTAAATTTATCTATATCTTCCTCTACCCCTTTGCCACTATACAGCCTCGATGGGAACTTTAGATCCTCCATGGGGACGTTCACGGTTAATGCCTCGACGTTGAACTGAGGACGACAGAGGCAGGCATAACGCTCCTAAGGCCGAAGTGTTGCTTCTCGCACTTCACACCTTAACGCATATAATGGTCGAAGCTTCGCTCTTCCCCTAGACCTTCATAGCACGCTGCACACTAGCATTTTGTTCTCTATGCGATCCTAGCCGCTCAGCTGCCACTCACGGCTATAGAGTAACACCTTTCCGTCCCGCCATCTTGCAGCAACCTCCTAGCTCCCTACTCTTTGTGTTGCTCGACTGTAGCATCCACTAGAAGAGCCAATATCTAGCCATTATGCTACCCAATTGGCTAGAAAATAAACCTTACCGGTGAACCCCACATAATTTTATTTATTTTCTAAAATTTATCCAAATACCAAAATTTATAAACCAATACCTTTCTCATTCGAAAATTTAAATATCCTTTGACCTATTTTCTTTTTCCCTCTTTTTTGCCCCAATTTTATTTATTCCTTTAGTTTACTATTTATTTGTAGTATTTTCCCTTATATATAGGCTTTATTTTTGTTCTTTTTCATATACGTACATTAGACAATACAGAAGATCCCGTTGAAATTATAGGAACTAATGACTTGACGTGGACCTAGCCAACTATGCTGAAGACACTAAAAATTTTAAGGCGCAATGCAAGACACAGCTAAAATTTTGAACACATAAAATAATACAAAATTTTCTTGCATAAATTAATCATATTACGATTTTCTAGTAATTTATTTACCACCTTATAGCTTGCTCTTTTAGCCTCTCATGTGTAGATTTTATACTTCATAATAACATTGTAGTGATCTAGAATAATATTTAATGTTTTCAAGCACTATCACGTCAGATCATAGAAAGATACATCGAACATCATTTTATGTGCTTTACTTTCCAAATATCTTTACAAGTTTAGGAATCTTGTTGAAATGGGCATTTCTGAGTTGAGGGTTATAAATATTGAAGTTATGGATATGTAAAGATTAGATAATTGTGATAGCTTTGGTGGTTTAACCGGATTATAAATTACCCTCTTATACCATGCAAAATGGCATAGTTTGTGTCCATCCACATGACCGAGTATTGGACTTAGCGTAGTACATT